TGTCACTCTACCCAGCATCTAGGGAACTATCAACCAGTTTATAACCTTCACTTTAAAAAATAAGGTTTGAGAACAAGTGGTAGCAACACTACTTCAGACTTTCTTGGATGAAACAGATTACTTGGTTCCATTCCATTCTGGATTTAGGCATAGTTTTTGGGACAGAAACAGCCTTCATTGTCTTAGTGAATGATCTATGTGGAAGAATGTGTCCCTCTTGATTCTGCTGGACCTCTTGAGTGGGATTCAGTATTCGGATATTATTCTGGGCCATTTAGCTGCAATGAAACTTCTTGCATTTTGCAGTGATCCTAGCCCTATTTGGTTAAGCGTTCCCAGAAGGTGACTCAATATTGTCCCTAGTTTTTATTAAAATCTAGATAAGACTACTGAGGGTGGCTTGCTGGAGTCTTCAGGTTGAGTCATCATTAGCTTTATCTGCCTTTCACAGTTAATGCCAAAAATGCAGTAGAAGTGCAGAATCACATTATGTAGATGTAATGAGGAATTAGATTAGTGTTTCCCAAACTTTAGTCCTCCAAGGGTTTTGGACTTCAGCTCCCAGATGTCCCAGCCAGCTTGACCAATTCTTGGAGCTGGAGGCCAAAACATCTGGAGGACCAGAGTTTGGGAACTACTGGATTAGATGTAAGATGCATAACCCTGCTCAGGCCCTGAGAATATCTGGGAAGTCCTTCTTTCAGTTCCACCAGCATCATAAGCATGGTTAGGGGGAAGATGAGAAAAGGTCTTCTTGGTGGCTGCTCCTAGACTCTGGACCTTCCTTCCCAGGGAGGACAAACGTCTCCCTCCTTGTTTTCCTTCCATCACAGGCTAAACCCTTTTTATTCTGGCAGGCTAAACCCTTTTTATTCTGGCAGGCTTTTAAAATTTTTAACTGAAGTCTTTTGAATAGCTTTTTATCTTTTTAAATAGCATTTTATTCTTTTAACTTAATGATTGTGAATTGGTCACAGTGCCTTGCCTCCTGAATAGACTATTATAATACATTATAGTCATGGGAACATCCTTAAACAATATTCAACATCTATAGCTAATAAAAAATGCACTAGCCAGACTGTGATCTGATGTGCACCATAAAGATAATAGGTCACAAATTTTGTGCCAACTGCACTGGTTTCCAGTTTCCTTCTGAGCTCAATTAATGGTTCTGGCTTAGATCTACAATGTTCTAAGTGTCTTCTGGTGAAATAATATCTGAAAGACTTCTTCTCCCATGTGAGCCTGCCTGGAATCATATCCTCAGTGGTGTCCCTTTTGCATGTCCCAGTACTTAAAAAGTCTAGGTTGAGGAGTATATGTGGCAGGACTTTCCCTGTAGCAGGATCTCCAGTGTGGAACTCACTTCCAATGAAAGCCAAATTGGGTCTGTCCTCCTGAATTTTTGGAGGGCAGTCAAGATTCCACTGCTTCATACATCCTTTGTCATTAAAACTACTGTTGTATTTTGGTACTGTTCTCATTGGTTTATTTAATTAAAACAGTGTTTTTATTTTATGCTCATTGCCTCCAGAACTCTGTAAGGCTGACAGATAACAAACAAATACAGTCAAATAAAAATATAATATTATCAGTATGTGTAGATAGATAGATAGATGGAGCCAAGCTTCTAACTATATTTGCACTAACCCCTGAGGAATTTCTCACTCTTTTTTTTTTAAGCAAAAATTATAGAGACTTGTGGCACCTTAGAGATTAACACATTTATTTTGGTATTGGATAAGGTTTCATGCCATAACAAATGTTTTAGTCACTCTACAAGGTGATAGAAGATCGTTGTTTTTGCTGCAACAAACTAACACATCTCTATTGGGGATTTTGTTTTTCTTTTTAATTTTTGGAAGCAGTCTCATCAAAATACTTTCATCTGTTACGAGGTAAATGGTTTTAAGGGTTTCAGACACTTTTGCCATAAAATCATCTCTTTCTTCCAGTCACTACCATAGAAATAAATAATGTTGTTGAGGAAGTGCCCCACATCTCCTTTAGAGAATCAAGGTCCTGAGCTGTGGCAACTGCACCTCTCTGAATACTCAGTAACTCTCTAGTCGTGCTGCTTAATAGAGCAAAGCCATTAAGTTGTCCCCATTATAATTTAGATCACAGAAGAGACTTCTACAGATTCTTTCAGGTTAAAATAACTGGTATAAAGAGAGCAGGAGATATTATTCCACTGTAGCTACGTGCTTAATTATATGGAATTGTCAAGTGCAAAGAATTATTCTGATAAATTAAAATACTAATTAAATAGACTATTGCCAAATTTTGAGAACATTATAGGGTTCCACTTCTTCAGGTAATTTGCATATCCTTCATCTACTGAATTTAATTTTAATGGACTTCTTTTTGTGTATGAGGAAACTCTTTTTGTCTCACGGGGAGATTTTTTTAAAAGGATTCATATGTTGTTCAATGCCTTTTCTTAAAATAGAAGCTCACATTTCTTGCATCATTCCTGACAATGTTTGCATTGCACTGTTACAATTTCCATAATTAAGAAAATGCTGTAGTACAAATTTCTTGTTTGGGTGTGGTATTTTTCTTTTGGTATGAATTTTATAAATAATTATATTCCAAGACTTATTGGCACTGGAAAAGAAAGCAATCTGGAGGGGACAACAGTTCAGCTCATCACATCACAAGTATAAAGAGACTCAGTGTGATGTATTAAAATGATGTGGAAAGCATGAATGCTGTAGCGGTTTGAATTGGCGGTTAGACTTGGGCTTCTGCCACACTGCAAAAATAAAGCAGTTTGACACCACTTTGGAGATTCACATGGGGACAGGATAAGGACGAGATCATTCCCCTGTCCTTAACCTGTCCTGAACCCCAATGGCACGAAAGGCTTTCAAATTGTTGTGGTGATCACATCATGAATGCAAACTTTTGTTATTGCAAAATGCCGGCCAATGTCACCTTAATGACGTTTTAATGTCAGTTAATTGACGGGATTGGCATGACTTCATCTGAAAGCCTTTTGCACCATTGCTGTCAATTGCACTTCCCAGATGGGATAAGCATGGACGAAATGTCAAAGTCCTTCCCATGACTGAGCGGGAAGGACAGAACAATGTCGAGAGAGGGATGGGACATCCCTTGGGTGATCATCTCCTTTAACTGCTATGATTATGGATTCTGGGATTGTTTTGTTAGTTATTTAGCCTTCCCTTTGAGAGAGCTCTGTTGCCTCACCAGGATACAAATCCCAGAATTCCATAGCACTGAGCCATGGAAGTTAAAGTGCTGTAATTGCTTTATTTCTACAGTGTGGCGGCAGCCTTAGAGCATGACAAAAGTAAGCTGACATGCAGCAAGAGAGAAGCACCTTACTACATGTCATTGGAGCACTTTTATTCTCTTCCTGAGGGAGATGGTCATAAAAGCATGTCTTTTGTCATGCTGGAACTGGAAGAGAAGGAGGGTGTTTTAATGCTTAAGTTTTAAAGGTGGATGTAATTTTTATATGTTACATGCATTGCAGGTTGTGTACCCTTATCCAGAATTCTGAAATTCAAAATACTCCAAAATCCAAAATTCTCCACATGGCTGGCTGAGATAGTCCAAAACACACTACAGAAATAATCCACTTTGAGGCCACTTTAAGTGCCCATTAGGTTTAATAGATAACTTATTTGCATTTTAATAATAGCTTCAAGTATGTTTGTATTTATGACTTGTCCACATGGCTGGCTGTAGACTGACTGCGGGAATTGACTTTTAACTTCTGTAAACCGCATTGAATCCCAATATTGCAGGAAAAGTGTGATATAAACAAATGAAATAGTAGTAGTAGTAGTAGTAGTTGTAGTTGTAGCAGCAGCAGCAGCAATACCATCCAAAGCTTGCTTTGATTTGCAAGTCCATGAGAAAAACAATTTACAGTTATTTTCACATTCACTAAATAACTATAAAATGGAACACATTCCTGTAACAGTATTTTGCTTTACAATATATTACATTTAAATATTTTCTTGACTTGCATATTGCAATAGGCAGTTCTCCTCTCAGATGTGCCCTAAAATTAAAAGACCATCTTTCGTATTTCAGTTTCATGTTTAAACCCAATGGATTTTGAGCACACTTTCAATGCAGTAATTCTAGTGTACAAAAACAGTGTTAGATTTTTAACCTATAGAACTAAGACAACATGATTACTGGTGCAGATAAAAATGCATCTATAGCAGAGCACATGAAAGCAACCATAGGCTTACAGTTTGAAATCATTCTCTCAACAAAGCTTGCATCTTAATCCCTACTCCAGGATTAATTCTGAACAGCCTAGGAGAGCTGAGTCACATTTCTGCATCAGTTTTTGCCTCTTTCTTTGTACAAAGGGGATTTAATAATGTTTACTTAGCTATCTCTTGGAGGAATTGTAAAGATAAATAAATAGACTGATGTTAGTTGAGTCTTTGAATGCATGAAGCACTATATAAATAACTAAATAGCAATACTGAATTGAATTATCTATCAATCTACACTTTTAGGCTGCAGTCCAGGAAAGCTCTTGAGTCTATTTAGAAGTACAGAAGGAAAAACATTTTTGAAGCCTTTGGATATGACTTAATTCTGACACAAGAATAAAATGGGGGTATAACATTTAAAGGGCTGTATGATCAAGAAGAATCACAGAAGTTGGGGGCAATTACAAAAGGCAAATTGCCCATTTTCACAGCAAAGCCTCATTTCTTAAATAGTGAGGCCAAAAGATTTCTTTTTGGATTACAGAAGGTTAAAGTTGCAAGAGACCTTCAAGATCATCTAGTCCAGGTTTGCCTCCCAGCTATGCAGTTAACTTAATTTAGTCTACTCTATATCTTTGGTGAGCTTCTCCCAATATGTCCTTGCCTGAAAAAACATCTGGAGTTGACAATGGGCTGATGAGAGCATATGGATGATACTGTGTGAACCAATGTGTGGTTTGTCAGCACAGATGTCTATGTTTTATTTATTTATATTATATTTAAAAAGTGTGAGCCAGCATGGTGTAGTGGTGTGAATATTGGACTATGACTCTGGAGACCAGGGTTCAAATCCCTGCTCTGCCATGGAAACCCACTTGATGGGCAAGTTGCACATTCTCAGCCTCGGAGGAAGGCAATGACAAACCCACTCTGAACAAATGTTGCTAAGAAAATGCTATGAAAGATTTGCCTTAGGATAGTCCTAAGTCAGAAATGAAGGGACACAACAATATGTGTGTATCCAGTCTTTCTAGGCTGAAATGCCTGCGTGTAGTATTTTCATATAAAACAGTACAACAAAACAAAATAAAGTAAATGATGAACCAGTAAAAATATAAATCTCAAAACTGAGCAGGATTGAGTGGGCACATATTGGATGAGATGATTTCTTATATATTTTGGGCCCAAATAGTTTAAAAGCTTGATGTCACCAGCTTGAATTAGGCCAGAAAACAATTATGCAGCCAGTGAAATTGACATAAAAGTAGAATAATGGGTCAACTGAAGTTTGTAGCCCATCATACAGGTAGATAACTTGTGAATAACTATGATTGGATCTTACTTTTACAGGAAATTATACAGTTGATGAACGAGTTGATAAAAATATTATTTCTGGCAGCTGCCATTTCCTGTGTACTCGAGAGAAAAAGGATGCAGGATTGTACTTATATCATGAAATGATTGCTTCAGCCCAACGCAGAACAGGGTGGAAATCTCCTTAGCAGAACCCATGACTGACACAAGCTTTTTGTGAATGTGCATTGTTCAATCTATGGCAGATCCTAAAATCACAAGAGTGCTGAGTGAAATAACCCTGTCCCTTTAAATAGGTTCCTGTCCCTTTAATGGTAACACCTGCTGAAAGTCCATCTCCTACACAACCATTAAAAGCGCAGCAGCACTGTCCCTTATTTCACCTGGCAATCCTGTCACCAATAGATCTATGCAATCCAGCAGCTGATTTTATGAGGTACGACAATGGATAAATTGAGCCTTTGTTTTTTAGGTTATATATTACTGTATAATAAGTATCTAGTCTGGTTGATCCAAGAACTTGATTCTAGATCCAAAATCATGCTCAACATATTGTTATTTTTCTTCATCAGTTTATCCTTTGCAAACTGGAAATATGAGGATGAATGAGGCAAAACATCTGGTATCCTGAAAATATTATGGGACTCATAAAAGTATATGTTGCAAATTCATCCCAATTCCAATTTATTTTAATTCTTGTCATTCTTAATTTTTCCAACAGCTGACAACAAAGACATGCTTGAAAAAATAACAGGACTGAAAATTTTGCAGATTGGCATGGGAGAGGTAAGTGACTGAAGTACATATCATTACCGTATCTAAAACCTTTGATTTATTCTTTTATGAAATCCTCAGTCTCCTGGATGTTGGTAGGTGAACTGTGTTAAACATCCTAAGGGCTTTTAAAAATTCTGATTATTAGATTGTTGCATCTGTCATAATAAAGCATCATATCCCACTACCCATATGAGCAAAGCTTTGTGGCCTTAAAGAAATATACTTTCTAGCTTTGTCATATGTCGGGAGCAGACTCCCCTAAGATGAACAAAGCAATTGATGTGTCTGACTATTCCCACCTGGTTTCATTGAAGTTCTGTTTCATCTCATAATCTGCACTGATCTAAATTTAGGGTATCTTGTCTCTCAATGTGCCGATGAGACTTT